GGGGGGAAACTGAGAGACACTGGGTCTTTGAATTGATCATGAATTCCAGGTGAGGAGGGAGGGGCTCAGTCTGAACGGGGGTGGGGGGGAATGCTTGCGGCTCAGCGCCCCTGGGACCCGGCAGAGTCAGCTAGGGTGGGTTGGTGACAGAGACAAGACAGCAAGAAAGTCCCACCTTTGTGGAAATCCTGAGCTTTGGAGGTGACCGGAGGTGAAGGGGAGGGGGAGGACTTGGGGAGGTGGAGGGGGGGTGCTTCTGGAGCAGTTTGGGGGAGGGCAGGAAGTTAAAAGGAAGGACCAAAGCCAAGGCTGGAGGAGAAACAGATGCCTCACGGGGATCCATCTCCAAATCAGAGGCTAGAGACAGAGGTGAGAAGTGTCCCCAGTGAAAACTACCACCTGATAAGAGTGCAGCGGGCTAGGCAGGAATGGTGACAAGAACTGACACGTATACCTGTTTGCGACATGTCAGACGTTCCAGAGCTGCTGACCGAACACATGCATGCAGGGCTCACCTGTGATTTTAAGTTGCCTTTAACAGACAGTATGGGACGTCACACGTCTGCCGGACCAGCACGTGAGAGACTGAGGCAAGAAGACACATAGTAGGCCAGCTTTGGCTACTCACTGAGTCAAAACAAGGACAACAAGGACACAGACCTGGAAAAAAGACTGGGCATGGCAGCACACACCTGTAGTCCCAGCCTCTGGGAGGTAGAAGCAGGAGGATGAGGGTTCAAGCAAATTAGAGGCCAGTCTGAGTTCTGTGAGAACCCGTGACAAACTATTAAAGAGAAAAGGCAAATTCACAATTAAAACTAATTGTTACTAAAATAGTGTGTGTGTGTGTGTGTGTGTGAGAGAGAGAGAGAGAGAGAGAGACAGAGAGAGAGACAGAGAGAGAGACAGAGAGAGAGAGAGAGAGAGACAGGGTCTCACTATGTAGTCCTAGATGACCTGGAACTCACTATTGTAGACCAGGTTGGTCTGGAACTTGCAAAAATCCACCTTCCTGCCTTTGCCTCCCAAGTGCTGACATCAAAGGTGTGTGCCACCACACCCAGTAAGACATTCTATTCAACTCAAATACACGGGGCAGCAGAGACGAATGGCTCAGTTGCTAAGAGCACTTGCTTGCTCTTCTTCCTAGGGAACCCGAGTTCAGTTCCTAGCATTCGTGTCTGTCATTCCAGTTCCAGCAGATCCAATGCTGTCTTCTGACCTCCTTGGGCAGTACGTGCGTGTAGCAGACACACACACAGGAACTATCCACACAACTATACACACAAGTAAATAAATTCACAAAAATTCAGAATATAATTTTTGCACCATGTTATCACTAAGGAATTAGAGAAAGTTTATGGTTTTTTTTTAAAGTTTTTTGAGATTTTATTTTATTTTTTTATTATCTGTGTATGAGTATTTTGCCTACATGTAAGTGTGCATACCATGTGCCTGCAGTGCCCAATGAGACCAGAAGAGGGCATGGGATGCCCTGAACTGGAGTCGGGACGGTTATGAGCTGCTGCTGGGTGATGGCTGGGCTCAAGCTTGTGTCCTCTGCAAGAGCCGTGGTCTCTATGCGTAGTGTGTATGAGCAGGCAGGCACCCTCATAGGGCAGAGGCATAGACAGGATCTTTGGGAACTGGAGTTACAGGCAGCTGTGAGTCACCTGATGTGGTGTGGGAAACCAAACTCAGGTCCTCTGCAAGAGCAACCCATGCTGAGCCGTCTCTTCTATCCCCTTTATATAAATTATTTTGTATTAAGTCTCCAAAATCAAAATTGAATTTATGTGCATAGCATACCTCAGTTTGGAGGAGCCATGTGTCAAGAGTTTAACAAGCATGGGTTACCACAATGGATAATGCAGTCTGAAACGTTCAGAGATATTAACTCATTTCTTCCACAGAGTCATGCTTTGTTATTCAAATTTATGTTATGAACATCACAATATAAAAGTTTGAGACAGCCAGTCGTGGTGGTGCACTTGGGAGGCAGAGACAGGTGGATCTCTGTGAGTTCGAGGCCAGCCTGGTCTAAAAATCAAGTTCCAAGACAGCCAGAGACATAGCACAGAGAAATCCTGTCTAGAAACAAACCCCCTCCCCCGCTAAAAGAAGTTTGGGGTTGAAGAGATGACCCAGTGGTTGAGAACACTGACTGCTTTTCCAAAAGACCCAGGTTTGATTCCCAGAACCCACGTGGTGGCTCACAACCATCTTTAACTCCAGTTCCAGGGGATCCCATGCCCTCTTTTGGCCTCCACAGACACCAGGAATGCATGTGGTACAGAAACATACATGCGGCCAAAACACTCATTCACATAAAATAATAACATAATAAAAACTGTAAAATATATGGCTTAAATGTCACCAGAAGGAAAAATAATCAGGTTAGCATCTGAACCTGTGAGCTCAGCCTCCCATGTCTGGTCAGTGCAGTCACCATTCCAAATCTCAGCTCCCGGGACTTAGTAACTAAGTAAAAAGGTTGCTGGTCATGGGTGTGTGCTTCCCAGAGGAGACACGGAAGCCCAGAGAGAAAGCATCCTGCTGTTCAGGTGACCTGGGTGGACTCTGATGCTACATAAAGTGAGAACTGTGAGGTGAACCGCTTTACCCAGTGGTCTCAGTGACTGCTGGGGAGGAAGAGGCAGGCTGTGACCACTGTATTCCATACGACAGGAGAAGAACTTTGGGACGTTCAAAGGAAAATGACCCCATAGCTTCCAACTATGAGAGAGAATGATTTTACATAGTTTTGTTACCATTTTATTGTATTTTAATAATTTATTATGTTTTTAATTATTATTGTTGTTATTATTATGGTTTTTTGAGACGGCCTTGAACTTCTGATCTTTCTGCCTCCACCTCCCAAGTGCTGGGATTGCAAAAGGGTCAGCGCACCCAGTTTGGGGGATGCTGGGGATGGAGTCCAGCACACTGTTTGTGCTGGGTAAACACTCTTCTACCTGAGCTACACCCCCAGTCTACCCCACTATTTCAGAGGGATGCCTCCTTTCAGATAATTTATTTATACAATTTATTTGTAATCTCCTATTTGGGGAGAGTATTTTAGTAATATAACTAACCAACAGCCAAGTGTGGTGGTAACATCTTCAAGTCCTAGTACTTGAAAGGATGAGGCAGGAAGATCTCTAAATTCAAGGCCAGTCTACAATAGTGAGAACCTGTGTCAAGATTAAAAAAAAATGTGAGGCAGTGGTGGCGCACGACTTTAATCCCAGCACTTGGGAGGCAGAGGCAGGAGGATCTCTGAGGTCAAGTCCAGCCTAGTCTACAGAGCAAGTTCTAGGACAGCCAGGGCTACACAGTAAAGCCAGTCTTGTAAAACAATCAAAAGCTAGCCCTCTGATTAACATGCTTACAATTCATTTTTCTCCAAGAATCCAGTGTATATAGTCAATCACCCTTAATTCTCCACTGAGCTGACCATGGTGGTGAGCCATGTTTTCCCAGGTCTTACAAGCTCTCATTGTATACAACAGTCCCTGAACCTGGTCACTTAGAATTGTGACACAGCTGGGCATGGTGGTATACACCTATAATTCCAGCACTTGAGAGGGTGGGGCAGGAGAATCACTCCAAGATCAAGGCCAACCCGGGCAACATAGTGTACACAGTTAGCTCATTGCCAGCTACTGAGTGAGTCTGTCAACCAAAAGGGGGTGGGGTGGGGGATGGGGGGCTTGGCACAGAACTGGGATATGTAACTTAATGGGAACATATCTGCCTACATAACGCTATGAGTTACAGTCTTAGCACCACACAGAAGTAAAAATAATAAATCCCTCATATTTATACATACTCACAGTTTTGTTTTCCTCCAATACTGGACAACCTTATCTGCGTTGAGCACGTGGTTTCACTCTCTCGCTGTTCTCTGATAAGCTCCGATTCCAAGGAAACATTTCCAAGAACACAGGAAGAGCGAATGCCGCTCTGTAACAGGGCCAGACCTTAGTAAGTCCTGAGACTTTAGCACAACTGACTCCATGGCTGTAAAACTCAGCACATAGACACCAACACCTGCCAACACTAAAACAAAGGCCTAACCCATCAAAGTTCATAGTTCTGGGAAAGTCTCAAAAGTACTAACCTTGCTTTTTGGCTTCTGTGGTTCTGCTTCTGGCTAACTGTTTTTGTTAACTGAAATACGTCAACCCAAAACATGGTTTCTGTGCTTAAAAGCTCACCCTGAGAAAGGCTTGGGTCTACACTGGGATCCCAAACATCCAGTGTAGCCGCTGGCTGGCTAATAAAGACTTTCTTTCCTTCATTCCTTTCTTTCTTTCTTTCTTTCTTTCTTTCTTTCTTTCTTTCTTTCTCTCTCCCTCCCTCTCTCTCTCTCCTTCCTTCCTTCCTTCCTTTAAAGATTTATTTATCAGGACTGTAGAGATGGCTTAGTGGTTACGAGTCCTGGCTGCTCTCTTGAGTTCAATTTCCAACAACCGCATGGTGGCTCACAACCATCTATTATGAGATCTGGTGCCAGAATGAGTTCTAGGACAGCCAGGGGTACACAGATAAACCGTGCCTCTAAATAACCAACCAAACAAAACCAAAACCAAACAAACAAAAGGATCGTCAGGGCCAGTGAGATGGCTCAGCCAGTATAGGTGCTTCCTCGCAAGCCTGGCCCCCTGAGTTTGATTCTTGGGACACTTGTGACATTGAAGGGGAAAAAACCCCAGCTCTACAACTGCCCTCTGACCTCTCTACACGCACACCAAGGCACGTGTGCCCACCCGTCCACATCATGCACACAGACACGTGAATGGACAAATACGCAATGAAAGAATGAATGAATGAGTAAATATTTTAAAGAAGAGAAAGAGTGGCCGGAGTGGGGAACTTTGGAAACAGCAGAAATGAAAAGATTAAGCCAACAATCTACAAAATTCCTTCTTTGTCCTGGCTTCTAGAAGTGTCTAAAAGGTCAGTGTGGTGGTGTGGGCCTTTAATCCGAGAGAGGTCAAGGATGGCTGGGTGGTCCTCTTCGAGCTGGAGGCCAGTCTAGTTTACATAGTGGGTTTCAGGCCAGCAAGGGCTTTAGTGAATGGGTCCTTGTAGCTCGTTCTTTCCAAAGCCTCTAAAAGGGAACCTTCCTGTGTTGTACAAGTTGCTTCTAGAAACATCCGCATCCTTGCACCTGTTCACTCTGGCTCTGAAACTACAGGTGGATTTACCGTTTGTACACACACAGTGTTTCTGTAATAGAACCATTTTGTGGAAAAGCACACAAGATGCAGCTCAGATTTAACGGGAGGTTTTTTGTTGTTTTTGTTTTTTCTTCTTTTGTTTTTTTGTGGGTTTGGGTTTTTTGTTTTGTCTTGTTTAGAAAAAGAAAGCACAGAACGATATTGAAGACTCCTTAGAAAGGTCTCCTCGGGCACTGAAACGTTAGCAGCGCTGGAGTTCAGGTAACGGGGGTGCTGAACTGTTTTTCTCATTCATCTTCCCACTTGGCTGAAATTTCCACTTCTTTTTGCCAGAGCTTATGTTACTGTTCATAATGGAGGGGAATAAACGATTGTCATAGAATACTGCTGGGGAGGCCAATTGAAAAGGAACCCGGATTCTATGCAAAAAGAGAAGATGAAAGAAACGGGAAGCCTGCCAGGAGCTGGGGGAAGGGCAGAGTTCGCAAAGCCAAACGGAAGCGGGACGCATCAAGCAATGGGATCTTGGCTTCTGGACCGATGAATTTTATGCCGGGGCTTCACCGGGAGGAAAGAGCGCTTAGCTCATCCAACACAGCTGAAGCCTCTAAACACGTGTCTGAGCACTGGAAATCCATATGGGACCGCTGGCTGAGAGGCTTACAGCCCTGGCTACCGACAGATGGCGTGCTCGGCACCTGACGGCGGTCTCTAAAAGAACGGCTGTGGAATCTGGGTATGGCAGTGTCTAGCTGTAATCCCAGCCCGTGAGAAATTGAGGCGGGAGGATCAAGAATTCAAGATGGCTGGGGTGGGGCATGGGGCATGTCTTTTTTTTTGTTGTTGTTATTGTTTGTTTGTTTGTTTTCAGAGACAGGGTTTCTCTGTGTAGCTTTGGAACCTGTCCTGGAACTCACTCTATAACCAGGCTAGCCTCAAACTCACAGAGATCGGCCTGCCTTTGCCTCCGAGTGCTGGGATTGAAGGCGTGTGCCACCAATGGGTGGGGGACAGCTTTAATCTCAGGACTCGGGAGGCAGCGGCACAAGAGTTTTTGTTTGTTTGTTTGTTTTTGTTTTATTTTTATTTTGAGACAGTGTTTCTCTGTAGCTTTGGAGCCTGTCCTCAAACAAGCTCTTGTAGACCAGGCTGGCCTTGAACTCACAGAGATCCACCTGCCTCTGCCTCCTGAGTGCTGGGATCAAAGGCGTGCAATGTAGGACCCAGCCATGACAAGCTCAATAGAGGCCTGAGTCTCAGTAGTTTACCCTAAGGCAATACCTGGCCAAGCTATACCACAAACTGAGACCACCCAGGCACCACCCAGGAACAGACCATCCAAAGGAAATTCCTAACGTTCCCACCTTTGTAGAATAGAATCGTCTGCCAGCACACACCCATTGCTTTTCACCAGGCCTAGACAAATGCCAGCCAATCAGGGGTCCTGAACTGTAGAAATCCCTCACCCCCCCCCCACCTTTGATACTGTAAAAACCCAACTCTAACTGAGCTCGGGGCTCTCCGATCACTCCAATACGTTGGACAGAGTTTGCAAACTTGTGTAAGAATAAAGGGTCTTTGCTTTTACATACAGGACTCGGTCTCCTGGTTGGTTTTGGGGGGCTCTGTGTTCTGGGCATAACCTGCATCACCACTGCCGGGAGGCCAAATTTCTCTAAGCAACACTCATGAGATATTTTGTCTCAGCAATGAGAAACATAAATAATACATCAATTAAGCCAATTTGAGAAAAGTTTTTGTTACCTTCCACCAAAACTAGCCAAACGATGTTCCTGCCTCCCACCCCATGTCCAGGAGCAAAGCTGTTCTGTTCAGAAGCCAGAATATGGAGTCCAAATGGGTCATCCGGTGCCTAGCCAAAGACAAATTCAAGTCCAAAGACTGAGCTCATCGCTGACAGCAGAATTCCTTCTTGCTAAGGAATGGGACCTGAGCCATTTCAAAAGCAGTGGGTGGCCAGCTCCCTAGGGTTAAATCCACTCCTGTGCTCCCAGGAGGGATCGGCCTCCCTCATGGTAAAGGTCCCAGGGGATCCGGACGTGGATGCCAATTCCTGGAAGTGGGAACCCAAGTGTCAACATGGCTGCCTGGTTCTAGCTAAGCCTATAGGTTTGGGCCCATCCGACTGTCTTTGGTTGGCTTGCTTGAGTTTTTTGTTTGAAGTTGTTATGGTGGTGGTTTTTGACCCTGGGGATTTAACCCACAGCCTCACTCTTGCTAAGCATGTTCTGCAGGCAGTGTGAGCACACTCCAGGTCCTTAACTTTCCTAGTCGCTGAGAGCTGGGTTTTTCCCTTGAGAGTATTTCCCAATTGTGTGGCAATTACGATCACAGTGTAAATGAGTAAAAGGCCTTCTTCTTGTCTTCTGGAAAACTACTAGGAAGTCAAAGTCAGGCTCACTGGAGTCCTCAACCCTGGGCAGGCAACATTCCTCATTAATGATCCCCCACACCAGAGGTGATTTTAAAAAATGCCCTCAAGCAGCACTGCTTGAGGGACCTCATTTCAGAAGCCATACCCTATCTATCTGAGCCTGAAGGAGGACAGGCTTCCTCGGCAGTCAAGTCAGAGTAAATAGCTGCTGCCTGTACTTCCTTGAGGCTCTAAGCATATGTGAAGCCACATAGACCCTACCCAGGCATCCTCTCTTCAGAGAGTAAACATCCAGCTTCTGTGGGTTAGAGCTCTCTGGACTTTGGTGATCCCGAGGACCGGATCTGCTCCCTCCAAACAAGGAGACAGGGGAGATGAGGGTGGAGATGAGGGTACAGGCGTAGGCTACGGGGCTCTGCCTTGAGGGATTCTCAGATGTCCTGGTGAAGCCTTAGGTCCCCGGGGGGCAGGAATAGGTGAACATCTGAGCCCTGTGGAACTGGTATGGTTCACAGTTGATCCTCAGTGCGCAATTGAATGTTGGGAGAGAGAAGGTAGGGAGGTTTGCCTGATCTGTGGCACAATAATCCCCGAATTGGGAGTGGCAGAGGAGGGCTAAGAAAGGATCAAGAATTCAAGGACAGCCTGGACTATGGGGGGGGGGGGGACACACGACTGTCAAATAAGTAAATAAACAAATACAACCAACAAGAAGGATTTATGGGCTCTGTTTTTTTTTTTTTTAAGATAGGGTTTCTTTGTGCTGTCCTGGCTGTCCTGGAACTAGCTCTGAAGACCAAGTTGGCCTCGAACTCACAGAGATCCACCTGCCTCGACCTCCCAAGTGCTGGGATTAAAGGTGTGCCCCACCACGGCCTGGCTGCTTTTTATTTTTTGAAACAGGCTCTTGCTATGTAGTTTAATCTTGTGATTATCTTACCTCTATCTCCCGAGTGCTGGGGACATTGTAATGATCTGTCCATCCTGTCCCTTTAAGAGACAAGACACGCCCACTCCCTCCCCCATCCACTGAGGCAAGCTGATCTTCAGCTTCCAGCCTGAGTCTCTTCCCTTTCCATCTCCTTCCTGAAGAGACCCGTTTCATCTCTCCCTTCTCTCTCTCTGCTCTTCTCCCTTTTCCCTCCGTAACCCACTAAGTAAATGTCCAACCTCACTCTGCATGCTCTACCTGGCGTGCCTATCTATGTCTCTGTCTCCCACCGGTCACGTGATCGAGTGGCGTGCCCATCTGCTGTCTCTCCTCATGGCCCGCTGCAGCCACTCGGGGAACTGCGCTGTCCCTGCTTGAGATTGACTGCTCTCAGGACCTGCTGTTTGCTGCCTGCCCGGGGATCCGCAGCATTTTTATTTAATCCATTACAGAC